CTGTCTCTCATGAATAAATAAATAAGATCTAAAGAAAATAAAATCGCTACTGCCTTTCAAGGTTAAAGTCACATTCTACTGGTATTCATATCTTTGGAAGTATGCAAAGATCTCAGAATATAACTTTTTGCGAAACTCAAAGGCCCTATAGCACATATTTACATGCCTCTGTTATTTTACAAAGTATTTCCAGTAAAATCGTCTTTTTGAACCATGACAGGTAACATGACTTGCTGTGCTATCTAAGACTTTATTCATCAACTAGGACACATTAAATTTTCCAGATTAACTGTCAATTCGTGTGTGTGTACGTTTGTGCACACATGCACTCGAGCCTGCAGATCTTAATGACGTTTAATTTTAAAAGGGGAGATGTGCACTTTTGGAATATAACTGAGAAATAACAATGACATAATTATGTTGAACCTTGGGGAAGCAGCGGAGCCCATGAGTCAATTTAGGAGGACAGAAATTACTAAAAATCAGGAGTGATGCTCAAGTGATTTCAGGCTAATTAAAACAGGGCTTGACCTAAAACCCCTACAGACCCTCCACTAGCTGGTGTGACCTAGGTCACAAAGTCCCTTCGGTGGCCCTGGCTTGTCAATACACCAGTCAGAGTGCTGGTAAACTAAAGCCTGTGCTTTAAAAATCAATCTCGAATTAACGGGTCCATAATCAAGCAAAAAGGTTGGACTTACATCACCCACACCAGATTGCAGGATGGAAGTCCAATTTAATAAGCATTGAATAGTATCTCACTCTCAACAGTATTTTCGTTCAGACCACATCTCTACACTTCAGAACCTAATTTTACAAATTAAATTAAATATATACAATCAGTTAATAAATGAAATTAAATGATCTATCCCTTGAAGAAGGATGTAATCCATATGTTTCCGGGTGAATCCAGAAATAGCATATATACTGACGGATGCAAATGCATTCTCATACCTAATACGTGTTACTTAATTATGAGCAGAGAGGTTAAACAGTACAATACAGTGCTTCCACTTATAAAGCAAGATGGAATATGATTTAGGATTCGTACAGGTACAGGATGCAAAACCCATACAAACCATAAGGTAAGAAAAGTGAAAACCCAGCAAAAAAGAAAAATAACCAATTATTAATGATTCTTATATTAAACTCATCTATGTCTTCAGGCCCCTTCTGCCCAAAACATAGTGTGAGGATGCACACCTGGCTTGATGCAAGAGGCAGACTGGTCTAACTGCCTCAGACTGAGGCACAAGGGGACAGCTACAGGACAAGATGCGGTCTGCTATGAAGTGCACACAAACTTTTGCTTGTGTGGTGAACTGGGCTGCAGCTATGTTTTATTTCCAATTTTTTACCTTTTTAAAATATTTTATTTATTTATTTGAGAGAGAGAGAGCGCGAGTGAGCACCCATGAGAAGGGGGGATGGGCAGAGGGAGAAGCAGACTCCCTGCTGAGCAGGGAGCCCAACACAAGGCTCAATCCTAGGATCCCTGATGCAGAACTCGATCCCAGGACCCTGAGATCATGACCTGAGCCAAAGGCAGATGCTCAACTGACTGAGCCACCAAGGCGCCCTGCTGCTATGTCTTCAGTTGCTTGTGGATAGAACATATCTTGTCACTTGGCAGGTGCCCAGCAGACGGGGGTGCATGAATGAGTGAATGGCTATTCTGAATATTAGCACAAATTCAATGGTTATCAGGCTCAATGACTGGGACAGCGCCTACCTCTAGTGAGGTCTGCAGCACGCCCCCAAACCTCAGCATGTCTCATCTGTACTTTTACCCCTGAGCGGACACGTCTGTCATCCCTTCCACTCCAAATCCCCTCCGAGAAGGACAAGAGTGAAGGGTTCCTCTAACTTCTCAGGCCATCTCCGGATCCTTGTGAGGTCATGCATGTGCCTCCTTCTTGCTGCGTCTGACACCAAACCACTAAGTGGTTAAATGTTTCAGCAGACCACAGAGTTTGTTTTTATTATTTTTTAAAAAGACATTTATTTATTCATGAGAGACACACAGAGAGAGGCAGAGACACAGGCAGAGGGAGAAGCAGGCTCCATGCAGGGAGCCCGATGCGGGACTCGATCCCGGGACCCTGAGATCATGCCCTGAGCTGAAGGCAGATGCTCTACCGCTGAGCCACCCAAGCGACCTGACCGCAGAGTTTAATCTGCGCCTCCCACAATGTTGAGACCTTTACCCCTGTTCTGCCACATGGGTTTGTAAATCATCAAATTAAGGCTCTTAATTATCCCTGGAAAGTCTTTCTTTTTCCTTCTAAGACGAAATACGGTGAATCGTACGTAGAAATACAATTACACTCAGAAAAAATGATTATCAATTTACATTAAAAATGTAAACATTCTTTGAGACTCCCAGTAAGTAAAACTGAAGGTAAGTTTTGTTTTGTTTTGATAGTTTATTCTTATATTAAAGAGGGTAAATTTTTGATACATACTTCAAATCCTTCTCACCTCAAATTTTCATTCACTTTTTGTTTATGGTACTTTTGATATTTTTATTTTTATTTGGTGTACAGTGAAAACCAAGGGATACAGACTTTTCCAGGAAGGGCCAGTGAACATTTCAGGATTTGTGGCTGCGTACAATCTCTGTTGCACATTCCTCTTTGTCTTCTCTCATTTTTCTGTTTTCTCTATTTTTCTTCCTTTTGTCATTTTTTGATATCTTTTTTATTTCTTCTCTCTTTGTTTTGTTTTACAACCATTTAAACATGTAAAAACCATTCTTAGAATGGGTAAGTAAGATCCAGTCTCAGGTTAGAACTGGCATATTTGCTATATAGTTTTCCACACCCCGCTATCACTGGTTTGTTTCATTGTTTTAAATTACTTACTTTAAAAAATTGTTTTTAATCATTGCACATTTTTTAAAGTATGTTAACCCCTAGTCATTAAACCATTTTTATTGCAGTTATTGACATTTCTTATATTTTTATACTTAAATTTTTTCCTCTATCTGGATATTCTGTTGATGTGAGGACATACTATCTGCATATTATATCTACAGTGAGGGAAGACATTGTTTTCAGAAAATCAGCTGTGTCCATGCCATGGATTGGTCAATGTGACTGTTCTCATTGAAAATGCCACCTTTATCATATCTTAATTTCTTATTCATCTTTGGAAATTATTCTAGAATTTACATTTGTATGTTTATATCAATTCCTAAACCATCATCCTACCACCTTATGATAATCACTTTGCATTTCTTTTCAATATCTGTTAAGCCCCATTCATTGTTGCTTTTCAAAAATATTTTACCTTTCTCCTATACTTATGTTATTTCATCTTTTTTTTGGGGGGTTCCAGGTTCCCCATCTCTTTCCAAATGTTTTCAGGAGAGTTTCAGCAATTATATATTATATATGATAACATAAAGAAATTATAACGTAAACGAGGAGAGATTCTATTCTTGCCCATTCTCAAATCTTCCTTAACAACTACTAAAACTTATTAGTAACATAAATGTAGTTTAAATGTCTTCTCTTCATATATGACAAAGCAGTACTAATCCAAAAAATAGGTGCATAGGTCAATGGACCAGAATATAGAGCCCAGAAATAAACCCACGTGTATGTAATCAATTAATCTACAACATAGGAGGCAGAGAACGCAATGGGAAAAAATCCCTTCAACAACTAATGCTGGGAAAACTAGACATCAATGTGCAAAAGAATGAAACTAGACGCTTTCCTATACTGACAGAAAAGTAAACTCACATGGATTAAAGACTTAAATGTGAGGCTTAAAACCACAAAAACTCTACGAGAGAGCACAGGCAGTAATTTCTCTGACATTGGTCATAGCAACATATTTCTAGATGTCTCCTGATGCAAGAAAAACAAAAGCAAAAATAAACCATTGGGACTTCATCACAAGAGAAAGCTTCTGCACAGCGAAGGAAACAATCAACAAAACTAAAAGGCAACTCATAGAATGAGAAAACATGCAAATGATATATCTGATAAAGGGTTAGTATCCAAAATATATAAAGAACTTGTACAACACCAAAAAAGCCAAATAATTCCATTAAAAAATAGGCAGAAAAAAATGGGCAGAAGATGTAAGCATGTGAACAAACATTTACGTAAAGAAGATATACAGATGGGGCAACAGACACATGAAAAGATGCTCAATATCACTAATCATCGGAGAAATGTCAATCAAAATTACAATGAAATATTGCCTCACACCTGTCAGAATGGCTAAAATCAATAACACAAGACACAACAGGTGTTGGCGAGGATGTAGATAAAAAGGAACTATTGCTAGCTGGTGGAAATGCTAGCTGGTGCAGCCACTGTGGAAAACAGTATGGAGCCTCCTCAAAAAATTAAAAAGAGAATTATGACAGGATCCAGTAATTCCACTAGTGAGTATTTACCCAAATACAAAAACCTAATTCAAAAAGCTATACACACTACTATGTTCACTGCCGCATTATTTGCAGTAGCCAAGCTATGGAAGCAACCCAAGTGTCTATCAATAGATGAATGAATAAAAAAGATATGAAATGGAGTATTACTCAGTCATCAACAAAAATGAAATCTTGCCCTTTGCAACAACATGGATGAGTATAGAGGATACAATGCTAAGTGAAATAAGCCAGTTAGAGAATAAAAAATACCATATGATTTCACTCATATGTAAAATTTAAAAAACAAGACAAACCAACAAAGAAAAAAGAGACAAATAAAAAAATAGGCGCTTAGCTATAGAGAAGAAACTAATGGTTACCAGAGAGGAGTTGGTGGGGGATGGGTGAAATAGGTGACGGGGATGAAGAGTACACTTACCATGATGAGCATATTTTTAGCATCGTGGAGTTTAGTCATGAGTGGTTATTTTACTTATAATATTTGATATCTCAAGTAGTTTCAACCCTTCTTTAAGCAGAAAACAAATGACAGGGCAGTAAAAAAATAAAAGAAGATAAAGACAAGAAGCAATGAAATACAGGGAGAGCTTGCTCAAGATTCAGGACATTACCAAAGCTTTATTGTAACCCTCAGGATAAAGACAGTCATAGAAATATATCCCAGATATTGAGTACAAAGGATAGAGTAATTCTACTAGCTAATTTGTCCAAATTAGAACTTAAGTATCTGACTTAATAAATGAATGGTCAGGAAGGTTGGTTTACTCTTGAACAATACTTACCCAGTGGCATATTATCACGGTACTTTCAACTGCAGGCACCATCACCTTTTTTTTTTTTTAAAGCACGGGATCTTAAAAGATATGATCTATTCAGGATGTAGCTAATGCTAATATGCCCTTCTCAAATGGACATATTTAACAGATGAAAACTGGGTTGAGTAGCAATTATATGTGGATGTTGTAGAATATTTTTCATTGAGTCTGTAAGTCTTCCAGTGACCTTATAAGAGGCAGGTCACCTTATGTGATCAGGTGCTTTAGTTTCCTCATTTCTGAAATGAGCGAAGCAGTAGAAGATTTCAGTGGATTTCTGCATATAAATGTTTTTACGCACACTATCTGTGTAGATTACTTGGGGTTGATCCAGTTATGTCCCCATCGATGCCTTGATTGAAGAATTCAACTTCACCCATGTGATTGTTGTTAGTATAAATGAAGTGCAAGGGAAATTGGATCTGTTTGGACTCACAGATGGCTTAAGCAGGTGCACTGTTTTGAGAACAGCCTTGGGTCTCTTGCTGCGGGCTGCATGGGGCTCAGAGGTTATGCGTCGAGAGCAAGGTCTTGGATGCCTGGCAAACCTCAGCAGCTTTTGGTGGAGATGGAAAAAAAAAAAAGAAAGACCACATTTCTGTGAATTTATGGATTGCAAAGATAACTGCATATGCATCTGTTTTCTCTTATTGAAAACACATGAAAGCTATTGCTAGACAGGAAAATTCAGCTCTCCAGTTCATGGAAGTGAGCCACTGCAGAAACCCCAAAGGGTGCTGGAACATATCAGACATGTACAAAGTCATCAGGAGGTTACAGCGACGCTGCCATTGAGACCAACACCAGATGAAGACTTCAGTGCATCCTAGGCTCTTGAGCATGAACGGCCATGAGAACAAACATGTTCAAATTTGAGTAGGAGCTGTACTTCACACACACGACATGAGCAAGAAGGATTCCAAATGTTTCAGGCTTACACATGCATCCAGAAAGTTCTCTCTTAACTAAAAATCGAAGGAGAAATCAAACTTTCCCAATTGGAAGTTTTATGTTGAAGAGCAGTGGCTTCTATGGCACAGTTCATGTTGATATGTGGACTTAGTTGGGATTTAAAATCAGTCCTGGTGTTTCCAATATTCCAGCTGTACCCACACATTTAAACCTGCCCTTGCCAATATGGCTGGCACCCACCTACTGCAGTCTCTACTGTTGATGAAGAATAGAAATGGTTCAACTCATCATTGATGAGCGCTGTGAAACTGTCAAACAGTTTTTTTTTTTTTCAAACAGTTTTTTAAGAACAGTTTTGAGAACTTTCTATGAGTTGCACACTTTGGCACTTGAAATTCAAAGGTGCATAGAATATTATCCCTTCTCTCAAAAGTCGTGATTCACTAGATTAGACTGTTTCTAAGTTTTTTCTTATGCCATCAGTATTTATTATTTTTAGAATGTTTCTAAGCCCTACTTCATTATTATCCACGCCCATTTCTTAACTCTGATTTTCTTCTTAGTTGGTCATCCCACAGAAGAGATATTGGGACCACATTCTCCTTCAACTTGTCCATTTTCCCTGCAAAGGACTGAATTGGGATGCTAGAGATTTTAGTTCCTTGTCAGAACTAGCACCTATTTGGGGCCTCTGTAAATCCATTTTGCTTCTCTGGGCATTAGTTTCTTCATCTAAAATTAGGGGCTTGAGCAATAAAATCTCTCTGGTTCCTTCTAGATCTAACCTTCTAGGAATCTGTGATTCTAGGTGGGCTCCTAACCCTCAAGCATTATCTCTGTAGTTCTACTTTGTGGACCAAGGACAGTATGATTAATGTGCACCCAAGATTTTACATGAATGATGGCTCATGATGACATGTAAAAATAGCTCTGTCTCTTGATATTAAAAATTTATTTTTGGTGGATACTATTTTCTTTCTTTTTTTTTTTTTTGGATACTATTTTCTACTCTTTTCCCCTAATGAACAGTCCCCAGATAACTTATGGTATTTCCCCCCCCCCAGAATCCAAACCCACCTTTATAAGATTTTTTTTTATGTTTATCTAAAGGAATATGTCTTAATTCTTCAGGAAAATTCTAAGACAAGATTCTAAAGACATTTTGGATCACCTCAGCATCACTGAAATAATTACATAATATAAATCTAACAACCTGCTCTCCACTGCCCAGGTGCAACTAATTGTCAATTTCTTGTATGTACACTGTATTGTTTTACATTTTATTAGCTTTTCATTTATTACATCTAAAGAAAATACAGTCATGCCTGACTGGACAATTTTCATATTCTTAACGTTTTTTTTTTTTATTTTTTATTTATTTATGATAGTCAGAGAGAGAGAGAGAGAGAGAGGCAGAGACACAGGCAGAGGGAGAAGCAGGCTCCATGCACCGGGAGCCCGACGTGGGATTCGATCCCGGGTCTCCAAGATCGTGCCCTGGGCCAAAGGCAGGCGCCAAACCGCCGCGCCACCCAGGGATCCCCAATTTTCATATTCTTAAGTAACTGTTTTACAAAATGTCTAGCATAGAGCAGCAAATAGATTAATTATATCTTCAAAGAGACAACTATAAAGAAAACAACTGGTTCTATTTGCTTAAACTTGTCACACAAACTGAGAATTATATATAGTTAAAAAAACAATGCATGGGATCCCTGGGTGGCGCAGCGGTTTGGCGCCTGCCTTTGGCCCAGGGCGCGATCCTGGAGACCCCGGATCGAATCCCACATCAGGTTCCTGGTGCATGGAGCCTGCTTCTCCCTCTGCCTGTGTCTCTGCCTCTCTCTCTCTCTCTCTCTCTCTGTGACTATCATAAATAAATAAAAAAAAATTAAAAAAAAAAAAGAAAAAACATTGCATGATTTCACTTATGTGTGGAACCTAAAAGAATCAGATTCGGGATGCCTGGGTGGCTCAGCGGTTGAGCGCCTGCCTTCGACTCAGGGTGTGATCACGGAGCCCCAGAATCGAGTCCCACATAGGGCTCCCTGCAGGGAGCCTGCTTCTCCCTCTGCCTGTGTCTCTGCCTCTCTCTCTCGGAGTCTCTCATGAATAAATAAATAAAATCTTACAAAAAATAGAGCAGAGAATGGAATGTCTGCCAGGGAGGGGGTGATGGGGAGTTGTTGTTCAGTGGGTGTAAATTATATTACATGAAGAAGTCCTGGAGATCCACTCTACAGAACAGATCATACAGTTAACAATATTGTATACTTAAATTTTTCTAGAAGGATATGTCTTATGTTTTCTTACCATATCTAAATAATGTAATGATGATGATGGTGGTAAAGAATCTGGGAGGAGGGGATCCCTGGGTGGCTCAGAGGTTTAGCACCTGCCTTTGGCCCAGGGCATGATCCTGGAGTCCCAGGATCGAGTCCCATGTTGGGCTCCTGCATGAATCTCTCTCTCATGAATAAGTAAATACAATCTTAAAAAAAAAAAAAAGGAATCTGGGAGGAAACTTTGGGAGGCGATGGATATACTTATGTCCTTGGTAGTGGTGATGGTATCACAGATGTATAGTTAATCCTAAACTCACTGAGATGCATACATTAAACATGTACTGCTTATCATATATCAATCACAACTCAATAAAGAGGATTTTAAAATGTATGAGGAGGGGCAGCCCGGGTGGCTAGGCGGTTTGGCGCCACTTTCGGCCCAGGGTGTGATCCTGGGGACCCGGGGTTGAGTGCCACACTGGGCTCCGTGCATGGAGCCTGCTTCTCTCTCTGCCTCTCTCTCTCTGTGTCTCTCATGAATAAATAAATAAAATCTTTATAAATAAATTTAAAAAAATAAATAAAATGTATGGGGAAGTAGTCAACCTCACTACTGAAAGAAGAAAGAAAGAAAGAAAGAAAAACGAATACCAGACTATCAGTTTGTTAAACTGGCAAAACCTCTGAGAAGTTAAGATTGTCTGTTGTTTGAGTGTGTCCAGTGGATATAAATTGTAATTTGGTAAGCTTTCAGCATATGTGTCAAGTACTTTTATTTTATTTTATTTATTTATTTTTAAGATTTTATTTATTTATTCATAGAGATGCAGAGAGAGAGAGAGAGGCAGAGACACAGGCAGAGGGAGAAGCAGGCTTCATGCAGGGAGCCTGACGCGGGACTCGATCCAGTGTCTCCAGGATCACACCCTGGGCTGCAGGTGGCACTAAACCGCTGAGCCACCCGGGCTGCCCAAGTACTTTTCTTTTTTAAAAATATTTTTATTTATTTATTCATGAGACAGAGAGAGAGAGAGAGAGAGAGAGAGAGAGAGAGAGAGAGGCAGAGACACAGGCAGAGGGAGGAGCAGGCTCCCTGCAGGGAGCCCGACGTGGGACTTGATTCTGGGGCTCCGTGATCACACCCTGGACTGAAGGCAACGCTAAACCGCTGGGCCACTGGAGCTTCCCAGTGTCAAGTACTTAAAATATGAGTATACTCTTCATATGGCAATTTTGCATTTGGAAATTTATTCTAAGGACATTAAACATAAAAAGCTATCATAAAATAAAAATTAATAAATATCAACAAATATCAAAAAAACCTGTGGAAGTCTTAGTCAAAATAGCAAATATTAGTCAAAAATAGAAAAATATCTATAGCAGGAAAATGTATAGGTAAAAACATAAAACAGTATTTTGTGCAATTACTAAAATGTTTGGCATGGATATGATACTATAAAATGAAAAATGGAATAAAAGATTTTGATAAATATAGAACAAACATAAAGCAATAAAATCAGTAACTACGGAAGGCCACATAGAATGACTGTCAACAGCTAGCTAACTATATATTTTTTCAAAATTGCTTGTAAATATTATGTATTGATTTTATAACATAGCGACATCAAATTCATTTCATTTTAAAACAGGCACTACCAAACCATGTTTGTCTTTCCAACATTCAGTTAGATTTTTCATGTGGCCAGGAGTTTGTTGTGATGTTTGCCTTCAAAGCTCATTCATAACACACACTCGTGTACAGGCCGACCTCTAGCTTTCTACTCAATTTGTTTCTATCACTTACTTTTTATTTTTAAAATTTTATTTAAATTCAATTTGCCAACAAATAGCATAACACATGGCGCCCTCCTTAATGCCCATCGCCCAGTTACCCCATCCCCCTACCCACTTCCCCTTTTGCAACCCTTTGTTTCGCAGAGTTAGGAGTTTCTTATGGTTTGTTTACCACTTACTTTTTAAAGGAGATAAATGAATTGTGTTTTACAAGCCAGCATAAAAACCCAAAAGCCACCTAGAAGATGAAGTTAGAAATCATCTAACAAGGTTTTCTCCAGTTACTGAAAAACCAACCATAAGCCAGATAGAGGAAGTTCATTGTAGCCAGTGGATTGAGGGATCATATGAATTTACAAAGGGTGTGGTTGTGAGATGCAACACAACCTGAACAAGATGTTCAGGCAACATCTATAAATTACTGCCTTTGCTGTAACTGTGTTCTGAGCCTACTGCTATCACAGGAGGGACAGAGTCTCAAACTGTCATCTGTCCATATGACTAGCATCAGACGAGGACGGCTCAACGCCTGCAAACTCAGGCAAGAGATGGGGAACCAGGGCTT